CTCTTCCAATTCAGCTCCCTGTTAACGGCCTGGGAAAGCAGTGGCCAAGTGCTTGGGCCCCTGTACCCATGTGGGGAGACCTGGAGAAAGCTCCTGGCTCTGGATCTGCCCAGTTCCGGCCACTGTGGCCATTTGAGGAGTGAACCAAGAGATGGAAGATCTCTCTCAGTCTCTCCCTATGTTTGTAACTCTACCTCTCAAATAAATAAATTTTAAAAATAAATGAATGGATGGTGGTGGCATTTTTAAAGAAGGCTAGCAGAGGAACAGGTTTTGAAGGAGAAATCAGAAATCTGTAGTTGGAAAAGTTAAGTTTGAGATGTTCATGAGACATACATCTCTGGATCTATCTGCAACCAAATAAAAATTTTAATAGGTAAAAGACAACATCAATACTTCCATTTCTCCAGGTTGTTCCCAGTCATGGTGCTCATATCTATTAAGACTGATATAGGGGCCAGCATTATGGCATAGCGGGTAAAACCACCACCTGCAGTGCCAGCATCCCATTTGGGCACTGGTTTGAGTCCCAGCTGCTCCACTTCTGATACAGGTCTCTGCTATGGCCTAGGAAAGCAGTAGAAGATGGTTCAGGTTCTTGGTTCTCTGTACCTGGGTTGAGGGACCAGGAAGAGCTCCTGGCTCCTGGCTTTGGATCAGCCCAGCTCTGGCCATTGTGGCCATTTGTGGGGTGAACCAGCAGATGGAAGCCCTCTTTCTCTCTCTGCCTCTGCTTCTCTGGAACTCTGCCTTTCAAATAAATGAATAAATCTTTAAAAAAAAAAGATTGATATGAAAGGGCTTTGAAAACTTGGCTTATATTTAATATCCTACTAGCCTGGTAATTTTCACTGAATAACAAAGTGGTTAAATGTGGGTGAACTTGGGCTGAAGTACTGAGGACTGATTTCTCAGGAATATCATTACAAGCCTAGAACATAATTGCTTTGACCAGGAACTACCTAAAAAAAAAAAAAAGAGAGAGACAGAGAGAAACAGTATTCTCATTTTAAAAATCTTTAATTCAGGGCCAGTGTTCTGCCATAGCTGGTAAAGTGGCTGCCTGCAACACTGTCATCCCATTTTGGGCCCCAGTTTGAGTCCCGCCTGCTCTACTTCCAATCCAGTTCCCTGCTAATGGCTTGTGAAAAAGAGCAGAAGACGGCCCAAGGGTTTGGGCTCCTGCTACCCATGTGGGAGACCCAGATGAAGCTCCTGGCTCCAGCCTGGCCCAGCCCTGGTCGTTGCAGCCATCTGCGGAATGAACCAATGGATGGAAGATCTCTCTTTCTCTAAATCTGAATTTCACATAAATAAATAAAATCTTTTTTTAAAAAAATCACTAATTTTTTTGTTTCAAAGGTTGTAGGAGGGGTGGGCACTTGGACTAGCAGTTGAGATGCCAGTTAGGCACCTGCATCCCATACTGGAGCGCCTGGGTTTGATTCCTAACTCTAGCTCTTAACTCTAGCTTCCTGCTAATACAGACCCTGAGGGGCAGCAGGTATGGCTTCAAATGCTTGGGTACCTGTCACTCACATGAGAGAACTGGATTGAGCTCCTGGCTCGCAGCTTTAGCCCAACCCATTTCTGAATCTAAATCAATCAATCCATCAATCTCTCTCTCTCTCTCTATTTCACCTCTCCTCCTTTCCCTTTCAAAAAAATAAATGATTCAGGACACTGGTGAGAGTGGATAGTTGGCTTTCTGGAGGAAGCAAACCAACTGATGAGTCACTTGAAAGCAGACGGCTGTTCTGAAATCCTCCAGAGCAAGAACTGCCTTCCTCTACTTTTCTTCCGTGGCAATAGAAGTTCTCTCTGCAGGTATGTAGAGACTTTACCAGTGTTTACCTGGGACACTTTCCAAAAGTGTCTTGCAGCAGAATCTTGCTATAAAGTTAAATTGTGTGAAACTAACAATGATTTTTCTGTATGCAAGGGAGGCCAGAAATATCCCAGACATAACAAAAGCAAAACGAGCACAATCTGTTTCCTGTCTTTAGGAGAATTTCAGGTCAAGTAGGAATGTACAAGTTTGGAGCTTGCAAAGCCAAATGGATCATGCACCATTGGTCCAGGGTGCACTGGTGGCCATATGTATACAACTGGGTCACAGTATTCTGGCCATTTTTATAATCCATTAGTGGTTATTACACCAATTAACACAATACAAATGAAACCTGAGCTCTGGCCATCACATTCACGAGGTATGATTTTTCTTAACTTCCCAGCTTAGAGTTAGTTTTAATTGCAAGACTTGTGCTTCTAAGGTTTTTGTATTGCTCTATCCATAAACCCCACAGCTCCCCTCTGTAACAATCACTGCTGCTCTGATACTGCACCACTGCAAAAATGATACCTGCCTCACTTCCCTGGCACCTTCCCCAGCCTCCCCTCCTGCCATCTCCACATCACACGCTGCACACGAGTAGTGCACCTGCAGTCCTCTCCACTTACATGGGCTAGACCTGCTGATGGCTTCCAAGGAATGAAATGTAGACAAGCAGGTTCGTGACAAAGGACCGTGACTTTGAGATCGCTGGCACTCTGCCTTGCCCTTACCGGCTCTCTCTGATGATCCAGGGGAAGCCTACATGGCAAGCAGCAGAAGGGAGGAACAGAGGTCTCAGTCTAACCATCCATAACTGAAGCCTGCCAACAACCACGTGTGACAGGAGGATCCTTCCTGGTCAAGCCTGGAGGAGAGCGCAGTGCTGAGCCATAACTCCAGCTGGCCCACAAAAACATAATAAATGTGTGCTGTTTAAAAAAAATTATACAGTTATCTTCCTTTTATTTAAAAGGAAGAGAGACAAACAGAGACTTTCCATCTACTGATTCACTATCCAAATGTTCAAACAGCAAGGGCTGGGGCAGGCCAAAATCAGGAGCCTAGAACTCCATCTGGGTCGCCCACATGAGTGGCAGAGACCCATGTTCTTGGGCCATCACCTATGGCCTCACAGAGTACACATAAACAGGAAGGTGGATTAGAAGCAGAAGTGGGATTTGAACCCAGGCACGTGGGCCTACCAAGTGGCAGCTTAACTGTTGCACCAAAAGCCCATTCTGCATGCCATTTTAAGCCACTATGTCAGGGCTGGTGCTGTAGGTTAATCCTCCACCTGCGGCGCTGGCATCCCATATAGACACCGGTTCTAGTCCTGCCTGCTCCTCTTCCAGTCCAGCTCTCGGCTGTGGCCTGGAAAGGCAGTAGAAGATGACCCAAGTTCTTGGACCCCTGCACCCACATGAGACACTGGGAAGAAGCACCTGGCTCCTGACTTCAGATCGGTTCAGTTCCGGCCGTTGTGGCCATTTGGGGAGTGAACCCACGATGGAAGACCTTTCTCTCTCTCTGCCTCTCCTCTCTCTGTGTAACTCTACCTCTCAAATAAATAAAAAAAATCTCAAAAAAAAAAAGCCACTATGTCAGGACATAACACAGTGATTATGAGGATAAACTGTACAGTGGTTATGAGGACAGAGTCTTCAGCCAAACGCCTGACACACGGCAGGCACTGTGCACCCCCACTGTCTCCACCACGGTCCAGACACTCATGACATCAGGTTGAAATTCTTGCAATAGCTTTGCAATTGGTTTCTTGCTTCCCTCTGTCCAGCTGGTCATCTTTCAAAACAAACAAAACTTCAACAGCTCCCCACAATGATTTTTTTCCTTTCCTAAAATAATACTTGTTCATTAGTATTTAAAACCATCTGGATATTAAAGAGCTAGAAGGAACTTCAGAAAGCACCGAGTCAAAGGGTTCATTTTAGAGGTAAAGAAACTGAAGAGAAGAGATGAATAAACCAATTAAAGAGTAATAGCATGGGGACTAGAATTCAAGCCTCAAAACCTTCAGATTATTCAAGTCTAGAAATATTTACAGGTGCCCATTTTATGTATGTGTATAAAAAAAGCACTATATAATTTCATCAGTTTTTGCCGATATACCATTCATTTATTTAACAAAACAATATTGAGTGCCATTTATCAGCTATTCTGTTTAGAATAAAGACCTTGCCCAGGAGGAATTCAGTGTAGAAAAAAATAATGTTAAAGTGATAATTATAATATAGCTTGATACAGTATAATAGACTCTAGGGAGAGAAGAAAATCACCCATATTCTATTCTTGGTCCTGCCAACCATTCATTCACCTACTCACTCACTCACTCACTCAGTCTACAGACTAATCAGACAGATAAACAAATACACAGAATTCTTATTCTACTAAAGACAGAAAGTAGAAACTAAAAAGTTCTCTTGAATCAACTCATAAACAACAAACACCTAGAGTTTCAATGTTACTATGAAAAATGTTTTCCTAATATATCAGATCTGTAAAAGTGAGCAATTCTAAAAATATGGAAATATACATACATTGTCCCTTTTTCAGTCTGTGTTTTGGATTCAAAACCCCTGACTGCTCAATACCCCGTTTGTAATTTATTTGCTGAATGATCTTTAACAAATAGCTTAAACTCTCAATTTTAATTTTCTCATGTGTCAAATGGTAACAATACCTACCTTGCATGCTATTTGTTGGAATTAAAACATCACATACCTTAATAACAGCAATCTTGTCTTTCAAGTAATCAATACCAAATAATCTACATAAATCACATAAAAATTGTGATGGATAACTAAAACACACTCGAATTTGATTATATGGGCCTTGGATTACAGTCAAAATATATAATGAAGTTCCTGTAGCTACTAATTCTTCAAAATAAAAGTCTATCTATTCCCTCATAAATTTCTCTACAATATTATTCACCATTTTTAAGTCCTTTTATTATTTTCAGGCAACAACATTTTGAGAACTCATGTGTACCAGTGGCTATGTGGAGAGAATAAAAACCTGTATTTAAGAAGCTTAGAATACAAATGAGCACACAGAGAAAACAGTTCTTTGTGCAAAGCAAGCAAGTATATCCTTGTAGATTTAGTCATGAAGAAAAGATACCAGAGATGAATGCTAAGAATACAGCTCAGCTCATACAGGTAAGTTTAATAATCAGGAACAAAATGAATCAATTAGGAAAAACTGTACATAAGAAATGCTTTACAGTGGTAGATCTATTTCATTTTCACTACTTTAACAAGCACAAAATACGTGATGACTCTGCGTTCTTCTGAACTAAAATCATTCAAGTAGCCCTAAGGTCTGGAAATCTAGACAAATGTATACAAGTAGTTTACCGATATTCCATGATGAGTTCAATGTGTTTTCCCCACCAGAAATCATAGCTCAGCAAGTTGTGCAAACTGCAATGAACTATGGGCACTAAAGCAGCATCTCCAACCATCTTTGTCCACCTATCTGCAACGCACGGGCTCAGATGACGTCTGTGCCTAATTTTCACTGAATGAACGTGTGCCTTTTGCACACTCTAGAAGGCCCAATCAAGGGAATGAAATCTATTAAATATTTTGGGTTGGGCATTGTGACACAGCAGCCATAGAGCCACTGCTTGGGATACTCACATCTCTTATCAGAGTGACAGGATTCGAGTCCCTCTCTGCTTCCAATTCGGCTTTCTGCTAATGCATATTCTGGGAGGCAGCAGGGAACCTCTCAAGTACTTAGGTCCATGCCACTCACATGGGAAACCTGGATGGAGTGCCTGACTCCTGGCTTTGGTGTGGCCCAGCCCCAGGCATTGCAAGCACTTGGGAGTGAACCACCAGATGCACTTGGTCACACTCTCTCTCTCTCTCTCTCTCTAGGTTGCTCTGCCTTTCCAGTACATAAAATAAATAAATAAAAGCCTAAAATAAACAGTGTTTATTAAAAAATAAAGTCTATAGACTGTCTCCAGACTTGTGTGGTCATCTGTGTATTTTTTTTTCAAGATTTGTTTTTTATTTATTTGAAAGGCTGAGTTACAGAGAGAGGAAGAGAGACAGAGAGAAATAGATTTTCCATCCACTGGTTCACTCCCTAAATGGTTGTAACGGCCAGGGGTAGGGCCAGGCCAAAGTCAGGAGCCCAGAGCTTTCCTTGGGTCTCCCATATAGGTACAGGGGCCCAAGCACTTGGGCCATCTTCCACTGCTTTTCCCAGGCCATTAGCAGGTAGCAGGGTCAGAAGTGGAGCAGCTGGGACTAGAACCACTGCTCATACAGGATGCCGGTATCGCAGAAGACAGAGGCTTAACCTGCACCACCACAATGCCAGCCCCAGAATTTTATATTTTATAGGATTCACCTGCTGTTAGGTGAATCTTATAACATTTTTATCATTTCTATGATACCAAGAAAAGATGATACTAAAAATGAGATAATGGAAAAAACAACAGAAATAGATTCCTTTTACTTTCTAATAATTCCACCTTAAATATTTTTCTAAAAATGAAGTGATTTTTAATTTACAGATAAAGGACTTATTAGGTTATATTTAGGATACACTACAAGTTTGGTTTTAAAACAGCTCTAACAAGGATTTCAACAAATCAGGAACCCCAGGACACTGTCTGGAAGTGCAACAATTATGTGGCAACTGCTTAATATTCCAAGGGATTACGGTCTTGTTCAAATACGGAAAGAAATTCATCTTTCTACAGAGCTACTCCCTCAGAGCTATTCTCCTTTATAGACAACAATGTTATTGTCAGTTTCGTACACTTTCACTTTATAAAGAACTCCCACGGGAAGAAGTTTCTGGAGGTTTTCCCAGATATAAACAGCTACATTTTCTGTTGTGCTGTAGGAAAAGAAAAAAAAAGATAGAAATTCAAAATGCAAATAAACAAAATTTACAGAGAACAGAAATTCTAGTTTTGAAAGAGAGCATTAAACAAAAACTTCAGAAACCACACAGCAATCAATGAAACGTTCAAAGTCAATTCTTCTCTCTCTCCATGTAAGGCAGGTCCGTGACACCCACCTCACAACACCTGTGAAGTACGGCACATCCAGGTCCAGATTCTTATGGTCCAGGGGCTTCAGAATCGCCTCCTAGGGACAGAGGGGAAAATCACTGAGTCTCTTTTGGACCCAAATCCCCAGGTGTTCCACCCACGCTTCTAAACCTCACTCTGTCATTTCACTACCAACTCAACACTTGTTAAATATCATACCCGTGACTTACAAAGCCATCTTAGAAAGTTTACAGTTATCAGATAAAGACAAGCCCAGCTCTCTGTAATGATTAGTCATCCTCGCCACTGAATTGAAAGAGGTGAGACACCCAAGAGTAGAGGAGCACTCCTGGTTCTTTCTTATAAGACATCGTACTTCGGAGTCAGTTGAACACTTCCTGAATTCTGTCCAAAAAGTTACCAGGAACACTTTTCCGTAACAGTCTCCCTTACGGGACAATGGACAAAGATCCAAAGAGCGTCACTTGTATGGAGCTGATCCACAACTACTACTATACTCCAGAACGACCTCTAAATGTCTGCTAGAAGAATGACTTAAGAATGATCTTGGGGCTCTTAGAAGAAACAATATACATATGGAAAGACCACTACTTCTTAATGCTTAGTTACACTGACAATGCTTCCCTTGTCCCGAGCAGACTGTAACTGCCATATTGTTTCTAGGTTTTTAGTTTCAGCTATCCTAGAGTCTAAGCATTTGTGAAGCAATCTAGCTTTCCTTGTGATATGGTTTCAAGAAAGGTATGTTAACAATGATAGTAGTAGGAATTTCTTCAGCAAAACTAGAATCATTAAAAAAAAAAAAGCAAGCCCTAGATCAAACAGTTTCTAAAATAGATCAAATGAAGGACATTCCACATGGGTATTGAGCAAATCTCTTCAGCTCCAGTCCCAACTCTTCCACCGGAGCCTCTTCCACAGGGCCCTTTCTACCCTCCTTCTGGCCGCCATGGTGAGCCACTTTTACTGAGGATGGTGTGTGGTGTCCTCAGGCCAATGAAAGTGGGGAAAAGCAGAGAATCCCTCCTCTGCATTCAATCACATGTTTGTTGAGACCTCTCATACTGTCACCCTGCATATATAACACTTTGTATATACAAATTCTATGTCCCCAAGAAACAAAAAAATCCTGTCTTCATAACTTTCCTAAAGAATTGTGTTCACTCATTCCCTTGCCCATTTATTCAGCTAGCAGTTAATGAACACTTACTATCCTTTACCTCCTAGAAAAAGTAATGTACAGGCTCTAGGGGCTACCTCTAATTCACCTTTGCGTTCCTAGTACTTTGCTCAGAAACTGATACAAAGTAGGCAAGTTGAATATATGGATAGGTAATATGAAAGAAGTAATGATTATTAATAAAATCATTTTTATGGAACAACATTAGAGTGCCTGGGTTCAAGTCCTGGCTCTGCTTCCTATTCAGCTTCTTAGTAACGAGCATCTTGGGAGGCAGGTGATGGCTCAAAGTACTTGGGGTTTTGCCATCCAGGTAGGAGACCCAAAATGAGTTCCAGGCTCGTGGCTTCAACCTTGCCAAGCCTTGGCTATTGTACCATTTAAGGAGTAAATTATCAGATGGAAGATTTCTGTCAGTCTCTGTCTCTCTGCCTTTCAAAAGAAAAAAAAAGACCTAAAAGGAAAGAAATCTACTGTAGACATCCTGGGGCAAGTCAGTTAATTGTTCTCATTTCTCAATCTCAATCTATGGAATGAAGAAGCTGGTGCAGATAATCTCTAAAGTCTCATTTTGCAAGAATTCTGCAACGACACAATTGGTGAGTTCTTTACTGAGCACTTTTCTACATGTTTTCTCAGTGATAAACTGCTCCTGTGATATTAAAATAAAGCCAGAGTGAATGAAAAGGGGAGGGGGGTGTTAAAATCTATGACAAAGACACAAGGAATATTTAGATAAGGAACAGAAAGCTTCAAAGAGAAGGTTAGGTCTTAAAAGACGGGTAGAATTTGTCAAATGGAGGAAATCTGGATATTCCAACAAGGAACACAGGGCAAGCACATTACTCTGACTCAACCGTGAATCATCTCCAGTAAGTCACCCAACCATGCTAGGAGCCCAAGAGAATAGTTTCTCCAGCTACTCCCCAGTTCCCACACTCAAGTCTACACATGAGGTCATGGAACCTCAAAAGACAACTGAACTGGCTGGGGAGGTGAAAAGGGGGCCGCCGAACACTACTTCAGGGATGGCACTTAGTAAGTACTTAGGATGGCATTACCTCCATGTATTTCTTGAGTTCAGTCAGATTCATAACCATTCCCGTAACGGGATCAATCTGAAGAATAAAACGAGGTGAATGTTACTTTAATAGGCTCTCCATATTTAAACTCCCGGCAAATCATGACAGGCTGTGCAATATGCAGAGGCTGTGCCCACAGTGGCCTTGGTCCCAAGAGAAACCATCTCAGCACAGAAGCACCACGTACTTCAGGCACCCTGTTCATCAGACAGCTCTTCTACCCGTCACGATCAGCACACAGAAGACAGCACTGGGGAGAGGAGGGCCTGGAATGGAAGCAGCTCACCACGCACAAAGGCCAACAATGAAGCAATACTGATTGGAAGATTAGTTCTCAACAGAGAATCCACCACGTTGGCTGAAAGAGGGCCCAGCAATACGCACACACCACACAAATATTTTCAGCACGTACCTCTCCATGTACTGTCACCACAACTACGGAAGAGAAAACAAAACACCGAAAAACCAGCATGACTTTCAACAGATTAACATCGCAGCACAGTCAGCAACATAAAGAATTAGATCCTTGCCCCCCACCCCAAAGCAAGACTTACATTTTCTTTTAGTTAAAAACTTTTCATCAACCAAAACAAAACTCAACCAAGACAGAAAAGCTTAGTAGGTGCTTAGCTAATCAGAGGAAACTGGCCAAGGTCAAGAAGGGCATAAATTCTGCTCATGCTGTGGAGGCACCAGGGAGGACAGGGATGCTTCTGGAGCTCTGACGAGGGACGTAGAAAACACGCAGTGCAGACAAGCTATGCACCGAACTAGTCCAGTTCTGGGCCGCACTTCCTTTTCGTTTTCTTGTTAAGTTTTTAGCATTTATTCAGTGTGAGAAATACACAGGAAAGGGAGGGCTTCGGTTAAGGGAAGAGAGGAGTTTAGAAGCCTAAGCTGGGTCCAGCCAGAGAGCAGGCCAGAAGCCACATGGAGCACAGCGTGCAGTTAGGAGTAGCCATACGTAGTGTAGCAGGTGGGCAGGAAGGCAGAGAGGCCAGCCAGACAGCCACACCCAGAGACGCGGGACAATAAGAGGGGCTGGGCCATACTTTCTGAGAAAGCAAAACCTACTGTTAGGCCTTAAACTCATCTCCTTACTCACATGAACATATACACAGTTCACTGTAACGCTCTGTAAATTAACAAGCACTTCTATGAACTATTTGAAAAATTCTGATGACCAGAACTTTACAAACTAGCAAGTTTTACAAATGATTTTTTTCAGCTCTACACAGACACCATCAGGTACTGCATGGTAAGTGAGTGCACTGAGATTGAACGGTATTACAGATAAAGGAAGGATCAGGAACCAAGCCAGATACCCTGATCCTCTGACATCCTGTCTGGTCTGGTTCTGTCAGCACACCCACACTGTTACACTCTGTGGCTCCCACGGCTGCTAGTTGCAGCATCCACTATATCTCAAAAAAACTTTTTTTTTTTTTAAAATCCCTACACAATTTACTTCCTTGGAACACTGGCAAAGTTTCTGATCCAACCACTTTTCTGCCACACAGTACATTTCTTGGAAATATTCCCTTTTGTCAGTCAATATTTACTCAAAGAACATAATCTAATTGTAATATTAGCTTCAGCCATACCTAATCAGAAGAAAACACACGGTCAAAAAACATTTTTTAATACACACTCTACGCCCAGGGAAAGAAGTCTTTATACCATTCATTGTGCTGGACACAGCCCACCAAGGCCACAGATCCTTCACTGTGAAGGCTCCAAGCATTCTCACTCCGCTGTACTCACCCCGCCCGGATCTGCGAACACCTTTTGCTCTTACTGAAGGGCTACACTTTCATCAGCCTTTAGCTCACCTTTGTAATTGTGTCCATGGCCGTTGGGATTGTTGCATTTCCCAAACAGTTTCAAGTTTTCTTCATTACTCAGAGAGTTGCTGACCAAAAAAAAAAAAAAAAAAGACACATTCAGTCCCGCAGTTCCCTTCTCTGTTCCCTGTATTTATCATCTGCTCTAGTCTTTAGAAAAGTTTTTCAATTTATTGCTTTAGCTCACCAAGTGGGGAGTCATAAATCATTTTGATTTCATTCCCCAGCTATATGTCACGAACCAGCGTATGCTCCCTAATTAGACTACTGCACTGTACGAATTAGTATGAGCAAATCTTCAATTCAACCCCCCTTTCCCACAGCAAATTCCTACAGCTGATCTACACATGGTTCGCCTTGTTGCATTTCAGTTAACACTGAGTACCTACTATGTAAAAGGCAGGTGCAGAAGGAAACAAAAGCACCTAATGATAAATACAAGATTTTGTCTTCAAGCCAAAAGCTCTCATTTCTCTTGGAAAAAAAATTACAGGAGCAAAATCTCCTCTTTAATGATCTCTCTCTACTATGTTACAACTATTGCCTACTGAAAATTTCATCACTCCATTGAGGATTTCAAATTAAGTGAAATTTTTAAAACACAACATTTAGCTGTTGTTCCAGAGAGAAAACGATTTCCTGAGTGAATTTAAAACATTTTTTGCTATTTGTTGTATTTATTTGAAAGGCAAAGAGACAGAGAGAGACAAAAACAGATCTCCCATTCACAGTTACCTCCCCAAGTACTTGAGCCATCACCTGTTGCCTCCCAGGGTATGCATTAGCAGGAAGCTGGAATCAGGAGTAGAGTCTCGGCTTGAACAAGGCACCTCAAAATGGATGTGGGCATCCCAAGTGGTGGCTTAACCACTGCCCCAAATCCCTGCTCCCTACTGATTGGACTCGTACCTATCACCCAGTGAGCTTCATGTGTTCTATGGGGCCTGACCACTCTGTCATGTTTGAGCTTCCCCTCTTTCATTTAGAGATAAACTTTATTATTCCTACCTCCTCCTACTTTTCATAGAGTGCTACGGTTCACAAAGCTTTAGCACAAAATCCTCTCACTGTACTCCCCACAAAATGGGTCAGAATGCAAACTCCAAACAGGGGCAGTGACAAGCTGTGTGGATCACACTAGCATTCCTGTTACCTAGCACAAGGGTTCACAAGCATGAAACAAACCCTTGTCCAGGGAGTGAATGGATGACTCCTGTTACAGAAATATGACGGAAGAGGCCAGTGCTGTGGTGAATAGGGTAAAGCTGCCACCTACAGTGCTGGCATCCCGACCAGACAGCTCCACTTCCGGTCCAGTTCCCTACTAACGTGCCTGGGAAAGCAGCGGAGATGGCTCAAGTGCTTGGGCCCCTGCACCCACATGGGAGGCCGGAAGAAGCTCCCAGCTCGTGGCTCCTGACTTCGGATCGGCCTTGCTCCAGCTGTTGAGGCCATTTGGGGAGGGAACCAGCCCATGGAGGTGCTCGCTCTCTTGCTCTCTGTAACTCTACCTTTCAAATAAATCTTTTAAAAAAGAAATGACAGAAATAATTATCCTCATTTCTCAGACAAGAAAAATGGGGGCTGAAAGTGGAGCTTGCTCGTGAGCACTAAAACTCTCCTCAACTCTTAAGTAAGGGGGGGGGGGGGGACACATCCCGTGACTCCTCTGCTTTCCATTCAGCTTCCTGCTAATGCACGCTCTGGAGGCAGCAGGTGATGCAAGTCCTTAGGTCCCCACAGGAACGTTGGGTCCAGGGGTGGAGGGCCTGGCTCCTGGCTCTGGCCTGGCTCAGCCCTGGCTGTTGCAGACATTTGAGGAGTGAACCAGCGGATGGAAGGGGCTCCCTTGCTCGCGCTGTGTGTGTGTTTCAAACAAAATGAAAATAAAATCAAACTTGCCTAGGGTTCAAATCTCAACTGCGCTGCAGGTTTAGGAAACTGAATATATAAGCTCATATTAAATCCGTGTAATTAATGCCGTGTAATAAATGCCGTGTAATTAATTCTCCTCGACGCACAGTAGCTGTGCTCATGACATATTTTGGCGAACTTGTCAGGTACAGGGTGATCTGGGCGAGGTTAACTCGCTGAACTTCACGGCCGCCCTCTGAGAGAGGCACTAAAGCCCCCCGCTCCAGAACCCAGGGCGCCCCCCTAGTCAGCCGGCCCGGTCACCCAGCAGACCCCTCGGTCTGCTCTAGCGCCGGGCCACGTCACTGAGCCGCCACCCCGCGGTCGGCGCGGCCCCACGCAAGGCCTCGGGCGCGCGCACGTAGGCACGCCTCCCGGCCCCGCCCCCAGAACGCTCTCCGGCGGGACCAGTGCCCGCCTCTGGCCACCTGTGGGGCCCTCCCCACCTGTGCAGCCGGTGGCTCGCGCTGAAGGAGACCAAGCGGGACACCCGCGCCCAGCGGCGACCGCCCGAGCCCGCCGTGCTCATGGTCTTCCAGGCCCACGCCCTCAGCCGGCGCCGCTTCCCTCTGCGGCTGCGCAGTGCGGGCTCGTGCTGTCCCCGGAAGCGCGCCCCGGTTTGGGCTGCAGCCAATCCCGGCCTGGGGAGTTCTCCGCCCGCCTGGCCGCGTCCCTCGCGCGCGCGCGCTCGCTCTCTCCGAGTAGCGGGAGTTCGATGAGTTAGGCAAACCTTGGAGCGCGCAGACAGCGTGGGTGGGGACTTGGCGTCCTGAGACCACGCCAGGCGGTTAGGGCCGCCGTGGGTACGCGTTGGGTCCTCGAGTGACCTCGTTGAACTTCCTCTCCCGCTCCTGGAAAGCCTTGGCTCAGTTAAAATGGAAGACTCCGGACGCTGCCTGCTCTTACCAGGTGCATCCTAGGACCACCGTCTACTTACAGCATAAAAGGGGCAGGAATTTGAGAGCGCCCGTAGGACCACGTGGCGTTCCCTCTCGTTGGACTGGTACTGAGTCCAACTAAGGGGACTCCTAAAGCCGTCCTCACCATCCCCCAGTGTGCATGGACCCCAGGTATCCCTGTGGGTTGGTATAGTGTGAACACGCAACCATCAACACGTGTAAGCATCTCTCTGGCCAGTGAAGACACCCTGGAAGGAGAAGATCCCGTTTCCTCACATCTACTCACGAAGAAGGTTCACAACGTGTCCCCTCTTGCCTCCATTCATTCTTTGATGAAGTATTTATTACACACCTACCATGTGGCTGGCACTGCAGCAGGCCCTGGGGAGGAGAACTTGGCATTGTCCATGACAAAAAAAAAAATCAAATGAAGAGCAGGATAAGTCGTTTCTTGTGCATTAAGGAATGGAAAATAAAATCATGGGAGTGGTAGAAATATAAGGACTGGAAAGTGAGAGATATGGGGGCTACCTTGCCAGCACATGTCCATCTGGGAACTTTATAGCGACTCTTAATAGAAGCCAGCCTTCTGAGATAAAGGAGCGAGCACAAAGCTAGTAAGTGTTGTATGAGTGAAGTGGGGACTACATCTAAATGGCTCTGATCTCAAAGCACGGAATGCTAGGAGGACTATTGTTTGCTTATCTTCTTCAAGAACTTTGCAGAAGGCAGGGCCAAGACAGAATTCACTGGTGATTTCTCTGAATTGTTTCCTATCTCTAGCTACACACACAGGGTCTTCAAAAGTTAATAGAAAATGGAGATTATGAAAATGAAAAAAAGAAAAGCATGAATTTGAAAATTTTTTCTACCAATTATCTTTTAATTCTATTTTTCCACAAACTTTTTAAAGTACCCTCATATTGTTTGTTGTGCATTAAATTATTAATGTCATGTAGACAAACATTTTCAGGTATTTGTCTCATGTCCCTCATTGGGTTATTTTTAAAAAGACCTTTAAACAATTATAAACCTGGGGCCAGCACTATGGTTCAGGTTAATCCACGGCCTGCAGCACTGGTATTCCATATAGGCACCAGTTCAAGTCCCGGCTGCTCCACTTCTGATCCAGCTCCTTGCTAATATGCCTGGGAAATCAGCAGAAGATGGTCCAAGTCCTTGGGCCCCTGCACCCACGTGGGAGAACTGGATAAAGCTCCTGGTTTCGATATGGCCCAGCTGTGGCCATTGTGGCCATTTCAGGAGTGAACCAGCAGTTGGAAGATCTCTCTCTCTGTCTCTGCCTCTCTCCCTCTGTAAGCCTGCCTTTCAAATAAATAAATAGAGTTATAAACTTTTATAGATTGTTGAGATAGATACTGCTTCATTCCTCTCACTTAATAGATAAGAAAACACAGGCCCAGATAAACGAATTATTTATCCAGGGTCACTCAGAATAGAAACAATATTTCCCAAGAATTGATTATATTAGATAAATATTGTCTAGAAACCATTGTTACACAAACATTTCTCATTCCAAAAACAGTTTAAAGAATCAGAAGGTGAAAGGACAGAAGATATTTCTAAGAAGTTGCTTAGTCTCCTACTAAAATATTTCATTGCATATGCAGAGTTCTTATGCTAAGTTGTCTTATTAAAGGTAATCCTATTTAAAGATACTCACCAATTTCACTCTCTGGTCATCACTGATCATTTATGGGTTATGGATTGAACTGTGTCCCCCTAAGAAAAATTCCTATGCTGAAGTCCTAACCCGAAGTACCTGAGAATGTAACTTTATTTGGAAATAATTCAGTCAGGAGGCAAGGGTGTTACTGAAAGGAAAGGGAACAAAGGATTTTGAGGGTGTGGGCAGGAGTGTGGTTTAAGTGGCAGCTGAAGGTAGCTGATTCTGGCTATTGGTGAAAACTGGTGAGGTTTAGAAATATAGAGATTATGTGGTCTCTAGTGCCACCTGTTGCCCAATTACTGGCTTTTCATCAGTCCCTGAAGAGCCACACACCTGAAGACAAAATGCCTGATTAGTGATATCCCTCAAAACAGCCTCCACTCAAGGCTGAGCTGGGGAAGGGGGAGTGGCTGTGGGTGGTCTGCAGGAGCTTGGTGCAGTTACAGTAGTGTCTGCTGTAAACAGCCAGTTTAGAAGCCTCCAGGGGTAAAGATGGCTGTGATGGAAAGGAGAAGATGTCTATGAGACCAGTACTCCAAGTCTGAAATTGCTTGTGCTCTCCCAGGACCTCTGTTACCTTACAGTCTGATGGTGGCAATGACCCAGTTTTAGTTTCTCTTTATGCATACTTACTATTATCTAAAGAAAGATATAGCCAATAAGTGTACATTGATACTCTGTCAACAGGTTGTATCAACATTTGCTTAATGATTTCAAGGAAAAGCCTCAAGAAAAGATAAAACCATAGTCGTCTCATGAATTCTGTTTTTAATAGTAATGTAAAAATCAAACGGTTTGGAAGGTTATGATGCCCTTTTTTCTCTCTTTTGTACAAAGCGTACTGATTTTAAATCTGGTTCTTGTGGTTATCCCATCAGATGGGTATGAAGGTGCCATGGAATCCGTAGGGTATTTGCACAGGTACCTCTGCTCTGCCCAGTTCTTCAAAGTTCTTGGCATCCAAGACTAGGAGGAAATTGCTTTCATTCTAGAAAAGGAAAGACAATACTGAAAACTCCTCTTTTTTTCATGGAAAATCTGTCTCTTCTACTGGACTACAAAATTCCTAAAGGAGAAACTATGTCTTACCTAGCACAGGATCTCACCTGTCTAACTCATGAAATGTTTGCACAATGATAAACTGGAATGAAAAGGAAATTATGGCTGAACAGATTTATACCTAAAGAAATTAAGTTGCCTATATCAGTGACCTTCATAGGAACTCTTTGATTAATGATCCTTATACTTGTTCCTTCCCAATCACCTAAGAAACATTTCCAACTTAGAAATATCTCCATTTTGTGTTACTTTGGAACTGTTCAAAGGGCAGTATTGCAAGGCAGGCTGAGATCTGCCCTGATCTAATTACAGGAGTGCCAAGTGCATCACGAGGCCTAACTCTTCCCAAGTCCATGCAGACATTGCTAATTGATCACAGCACTTGTCCCACTGAATTCCTAGAAGGCCTCTGACTCCTACACCCAAGGCAGCCACGAATAATAATTAATAATGAATATATTCATTTGGACCAAAATCTGTGCTCAAGGTGAATGTGTTTGCCACATGACTGCCCCCAACAAAAATTCAGATGGTAAGTAACATAATTGAGACACTAGGTCAGGCTTATGGCCTTGGACTTTGAAGTCCATTGATTGAAATCGTCACAGAGGGTGATATGAACATTACCTAGAAGCCAAAGCATGTAGATTTAAAGACTGGTTTTACCTCTATGAGATCTGCTGCAAGTCTCTTTCAACCTCTTTAAGTTAAAATTCCATGTGTGTAAAAACAGTATCCCACAAAGTTGTTTTGATGACTAAATAATAATGAAAGTAGTTTGTAAATAACAAATTCCTATGCAAATGCAAATTAGTATTATGGTCCTACAAATAGAATTTTAAAACAATAATACAATACAGATTATAATAAAGAAGTAAATAGTAAGGAGAGGAAGTGAAGGGTACCATATTGGAATTAAGTAAACTATTAACAGCATCACTAAATAGAACCCTCAAGTGGCTTTACTGCTACTTTTCTCCCTGATTAGTGACAGCCAGGAATAACTGATCAATTGATTTACCTGGTTGGGAGTGATCACCACAGAAAGAACCACCCCACCATCTTCTTCACTGGCTCCTGGTACTGGCACAAAAATAGGTTCTGAGGGATAAAAGCCATCTTTTCTCCAAACCTGCAAGGTTCCCCAAAAAGAGTATATGATCATAAGACCAGTTGTGATCAGGAAGATTTCTGTAGCTTTTGTCACTCCCAGCATGAATTTAGCTATCAATAGAATAATCCAGTATAACATCAGGCTAAGTGAGTTGAATGGGATGAGGGAGGTTTCCAATTCGAGATTCCATCACCACCTAACACAATTTATGTAATTATAATTTCCCAACAATCTCAACTTACAGTTTCTCCCAAAATAACATTATTTTTCTGGGCTCTGGATTCATTTAGATTCTCCAGAGGGAACATACTTCCAACTTAGTGATTCTGTGGTTCTTAATCTTAATAAAAGATGGCTGAGCTACTTAAATAATCCTAAGAGTTACCTTAAACCAAACAGTAACTAATTCAAAGAGCAGAAGAGGTCTTTGAAAAGTTCAGAAAGGGAAAGATATTTTAATCACCTTCAGTGTCTTGTTCACCACATCCACCTTGATCAGAGAATCCCCCACCAAATGCCGAAAACCACAGCCATAGAAGAAACGATACTTTTTGCCACTGAATTTTCCATAGTTGATCTGGGGAAACTCAATGCCTCCTTCCTCCATTAGGTCCTTGTGATGCAGACTTTCATGAGAGCACCAAATCTAAGAGATGCCAAAAGGATTTGCTTATTTGCTTAATTCTTGCTTATTTTCTTCTATGTAGGTCAGTGAGAGAACTAATATCCTATAAGAATTTTTAACAGGGCTTGGAAACTGAGATTCTAAATGATTTTTTAAAAATTATTCTTTCATCATGTATATGAATGCATAAAATACTATCATGAGGGTGAGCAACTGACCTAGCAATTAAGATGCCCACATCCTGTATCACAGTACATGGATTCAAGTCCTGG